TGTCGGTCACAAATTAAATGAAATCAAAACTGCCAGAAGTCCTCAGCACACACCTACAGGCACACACAGTTCCACGTGTTTATATGCTTAGAGCAGGTTCAGACTGAAGATGATCTAGTCAGCGCTAAATTCTATCGAGCTAGACCCTAGGAACTGATTATTATTCTTGACTCATAAAAGGTAATTTTTTATGGTTCAGTCTTACAGGTCACTATATTCTTAATATCTAATCTTTATAAATTGTATTACTAAGATTATTTTTCAAAATGTAAGAAAAGACAAAGTATGTGAACACAGATGTTTATTACAGGACGTTTGAAAAATCAAAATTCTATCGAGCTAGACCCTAGGAACTGATTATTATTCTTGACTCATAAAAGGTAATTTTTTATGGTTCAGTCTTACAGGTCACTATATTCTTAATATCTAATCTTTATAAATTGTATTACTAAGATTATTTTTCAAAATGTAAGAAAAGACAAAGTATGTGAACACAGATGTTTATTACAGGACGTTTGAAAAATCACCCAATTAACTGCCTTAAGTGAACAAAAAACCCATACCACTATGAACAGGCAGCGACCCAAGAGCAGGCCACACTCCAGGCTGGAGAATCATGGCTGCTCTTGGTGAGCTCATCTGGTAAGTTCTCAGAACATGTGACTCCAAAGTCAATGTGTGACTTGGCTTGACATGATTAATAAAGTAAAATATAAATATAAGGGCGGTTTAAACAATTATAGTTTACAGCAGTCAATTCCGGGCCAGTAACCAGAGAACTATGTTGTATGGGTCCTGTCTGTGTGTACAGACATACAAATAAAAATCAGGCCAAAAAAATCTCTAGGCAGCAGCCCTTTGCCTGGATCTGAAGCCCTGGGGCTACAACCCCCCGAAGAAGGCCACTAGGATGTATGACATCCACCCTATCTGTCACAAGAACAGCTTCTGAAACGACTCCTTTCTGTACAAGTCAACACCGGAGCATTAACCACGATGGTCACCACCAGGAGGAGCTCCGTGGCTGTGCTCACAGGTGTGGTCCTAGTTGAAGGCTCCATTTTAATCTGGGGCTTTAGGAGCACCTTCTCTGCTTCAATGGGTCTGCGTCTCCGTCTTCTTCGTAATTGGCGCGGTCCCTCTTCTTGGCAAACCTTTTTCCAATTGTTCCCACCAAGGTCTCGTATCTGTGAAGACGAGGTACAGCAGAGATTTAATTTCAAATGGAAAAGTAAGACTGGAGCCTTGCTCAAACATCAAAAACCTACAGTGAAAAGAAGCCTGGCTGAGAGCACTGCGCTCCTAAGGACGGCGGCCGTCTTGGTTCTGGACGCTCCACCCTAATCTAACTAAAGTGGCTCGGGACAGGAACCCTGGCCACCAACACCTCAACACGAGCTGGAGGCCATGCTGAGGGGCAGCTGCTCACGGCCCGGCCAGACTCACTCCTTTAAACTTTCTAGACCCTCCAGCCGACGCCATAGAGCGCCAGGGCACGGTCACCTTCTTGCCATCTCTTCATCCGACACGTCAAGCTCTGCTGCTTCCTCTTCCTCGTCTGCTGCTGCTTTGTTCTTGGAGTTCATCTGAAGCATTAACTTCTGAAAAACACAGCCAGGCCAACCATCAGGGCTGGAAAAGGCTGGGGAGGCACTGGAGTTAAAGCTGCCTCTGGCAGAGAAACCCAAGCCATGGACTCGAGACCAGAGGAAGCTAACAGGATTCTGTGCTGGGGCAGCCGGCTCAGTAACAGGAACAGTCTGTGTTCAGTTGTGCATTTACGCTGTCTTTACAGCGAAGTCTTACTATCTGTCACTCATACGCGAAGGGGGCACACAGCTGACCCAGCGAGAGGAAATATAAGCTTCTCAATAGCCTATGAACTCATCTTGGAGTCAAATGGGAGAAGGCAGTAATTGTACATCTACCTTATGGTGGGTAAGAAAGGAGCAGCTGTCATGGGGTGGAGATGGAAGGCTGGCCTGGCTAACAGACAGAATCTGCCCCTCAGATGATGCCCCTAAGCCTTGAGCTTACAGATACTGGGCTCCTCCATGCATTACGGTGGACACTGCATCTTGATGATGCCCCTGAACCCTGAGCTTACAGAATCTGTACCCTGGGCTTCCCCACGCGTTAGGGTAGACACTGCATCTTGATGATGCCCCTGAGCCCTGAGCTTACAGAATCTGTACCCTGGGCTCCCCCACATGTTAGGGTGGACACTGCATCTTGATGACGCCCCTGAGCCCTGAGCTTACA